GTGGCTTACGGCAGTACGAAAATTGAATTTTTAATATTGCCTCTGCTTTTTCGTCAGTCCAATTCAAATCAAATACAGAATATTCTGTAAATTCCGTGTTTTAGAGTATTACGTATATTCCGTATTTTACAACTGATTGTATGTATTCCGCCATTCCGCCGAATAGGGTCACCCAGATATTGGGGAGGACATCATAAAAAAATATAGGAGACCGGTAGGACTTTTAAATCGATCAAAGTGCCTCACTCATTTTGCAACTTCATTTTATAATATGCTTCATAATTTGTTTCCACAATAATATTTATGATATTTACGGATGACAACCAATGCACAACGCACAACTTGTCACATTAGCGATTGGACAGCATACCATGCACTCAAACTCTTGCGCAGGAAAGTTACAGAATGAAATTATTTTTTGCTGCACTCAGTCACAATCCTTTACACTAAAACCTTGGCTAAAAGGTCTCTTTTTAGATCTGTAGATTTGTAAGGTATTTCGAAATACCCGCACATGCCTTGCAACACTAACATTGAAAGATGAAAGTTTGTTGCTGTGATAATTATGACAAAGATTGTAAACATCAAATATTCAACAGCATGGAGGGAGAAATGGGCGCTTACGGTATTGAGCTTTTTTTCAAGCGGTATTTCGGTAATTTGGATTTTAAAGTGGGGTATTGCGGTATCATTTAGCCCTGCGGTATGCGGTATTTCTTCCTTTTGGTTAACAGTATTCGGTAAAAGACGATCACGGTATTGCGGTACTGTTCATTGCGCTCTCCTGTTTAATGCTAGCCTGCGTAGCAGGCGTTTGGATGACCCCTCGCGTGTCTCCCTCGCGCGCGCCCGTTCTCTCTCGCGCCCACTACTTCCAAGCGCGCTACGCAGGCTAGTTTAACGCACGTCAGTATTTTTAAGACTTTAGATTAATGGTAAATGATTACCATTACACAATTTCTGACAGATAATCTGTGATGAAATTGGTAGGGTATCTTTTTCGTTCGTTGTACCGATCAATTCGAGGTCGTCTCACGTTTCCTCGCAAAATTAAATTAAATTGATTAAATACCGCAATACCGTGAGAAAAATTGGTGAATACCGAAATACCGTGTCAAAAATCGACGAAATACCGATACCGCATTTATTTTCGGTA